TTTTAATGCCTTCACTGCTTCGTGTCATTGGTACGATAGTCCATGATACTGATTTTTTCCAAAAAACTTTTAAAATGTAATAGTTCTAATTCCATCTCCGTAATCTTTGGAATTGCACTTCATTGATCTAAGAAATTTCCTTTTTCCTCCAGTCTTCTTCCCAGATTGTTGGTTTTAGGAAGATGTGATGGATGATTCTGATTTTTTCCAAAAAACTTTTAAAATGTAATAGTTCTAATTCCATCTCCGTAATCTTTGGAATTGCACTTCATTGATCTAAGAAATTTCCTTTTTCCTCCAGTCTTCTTCCCAGATTGTTGGTTTTAGGAAGATGTGATGGGAGGAAAAAGTGCATCCAAAATCAAAGTAGAAACAAGGGGTAAGAGGCCTTTTATTTAAGACTAAACCTTTCATTTAGTTGACTTAGGATTTCTGCTAACTGCGTAGTGGTATATGTGAATCCTGGTTGTTATATCTGCTTGCTACTTCTTCCCAACACCACACTGCTGAAAATAGCCTAATTCTGCTGTTATGTATCTCACACAGTTGATAAGCGGATTGAATCGGAGGAGTCAGGAGATGAAGAGGGGAAGAAGCAAGCGGTTCGCTTGGTAACGGACCTCAGCCAGCAGAGCCTGAGAGATGAGCAGAATGGCGAGAGCTCCGCAGGTACCTTGCCACCCTAAATGATTGCGTTAGGAAGTGTTGTCTTACCGGCGTGCACAGTGGCATACCTGTGTCGGTCCTTTGTGTTTCTTGTGGCTATGTGATGGTTGTATTGATGGTAGTGAACAACATGAATCTGCTTTAGAGTAATCTTCAAAAATAAGTAAATTATAGCGTCATTGCTAAAATAAAGCTTTTTTTATGGAACCACTGGTATTAGACCTTTTGTTTTTTTCTTATTTATTTATCCATCCACATTTCTCTTTGAAATCTTTAATATCAAAATGCAAAACACCGTAATTCATACTCTTTTTTTTTTTGTGTGGAAACATAGTAACTCTGTGGAAAGATGATGGAAATGTTTGTTAGAAATAAACACAAAATAAGTCTGCTTTAGCGTATGTAGTTTTTTACCGAAAGAGTTGCTACATTCCTTTGGAAGGCAAAGACGACTGCTTCTAGATAGATTGAAGGAAGATGTCAGGTCTTTTTTACCTTAAAAATTCTAAGATAGATCAACAGTGTATCTGTTTGAATCCTCTTGACTATTCTTTTGCTACTGTTTTTAGTCTTTGTATTAGAACATTGAGTAGGAATGTTGACAGATTTTTTTGAAGCCTGTGCATGTTTGATGGGAGGGTTTGCTTTTCAGTAGCTTGCATAGAATTTGTCAGAGCAGATCCATTTCTGAAGACCCTGTGTGGTAATATTATCTGGGCCTTTAATGCTAGCTAACGATCTGAGGTGTAATAGCATCCTTTTGATAGAGATGTTCGTATGATTATTGTTGGTCTGGAAATGGAAGTGAAATAATACATAAAATTTTCTGCAGCAAATTTTAATCCCTTTTCACTGTGCATCTGCTGCAGCCTCCTAATCTTAACTTTGCCCATTAGAATTTGCAGAAGTACTTTCCAAGCTAGTAAATTGTTGTGAGAATTTTAAATATCGTCTCCTAACTATAAATTAACTCTAGGTATAATTCATTGTTGGTTGTAAAAAAACAAACAAAAAAACCCCAAACAAACAAAAAAAAAAAACCAAGTCCCCCCCCCCCCCAAAAATATATATTAATTAAAAAATACTGTGGTGATGTCTGCAAAAGTATGAGCACACCTCACCAGTTGTACATCCCCAGCACTGTATGATCCATACAACCATGCAGATCGGTCAGTCACAGTTTTCCTTTGCAGGCATGTAACACAGAGTGTTTGTTCAGCTGACGTAATTTAGCTGTGCATTTGAGGTTACATTTTGTATGATGTTTCCCTGGCAATTATAATATTACAGAAAATATTTCAAGTGACATTCCAATGAAAGCAAGAAAAAATGCATTCAGATTTGGTGGCTGAGGTACTTTGGACACTAATGCAATGACTGTATTGTTACTTTTTCTTCTTCCAGACTGGTAGGATTCAGAAAACTTATAGGGTGGAAACTAAGCAGAGGAATAATTTAGGAACATTTGACTTAGTTACCACAGCCAGCTTTTGAGTTTCTCAGCTGAAAGGAAAATGAAGAGTTTTTCACATTTTTCACAGATTACAAATAGAAAGAGCTCAAGCAGCTGAAATTTTGAATTTATCATTTAGCTAAATTTATCATTTAGCTATTCTCTAAGGAATAACGCCTCTGTGTAGAAAGCTTATAACTAAGCTATTTATAATATTTTTCATGCATATGCAATTACAAAGTGTAGTTAGGCTTTTAGTTGCTTTAAATGCTTGTGGTACTGTGAACTTACGTAACTCAGTAACTACTGTTCCATACTGCAGAATTTGGGTTTCCTGAATGTCGTACTTTTTTCCTACATCTGCAAAGCTGTGTAGCTTGCAGGCATGGGTTACACAAAAATTAGCTTAAGTAACTTCGTTGCCAGAGCAATTTTTTTTCCCCTTGAGAAACCTACTGCATTAAAAATTGTGGACTAGTGTGCTGCTTGCATACTTACTTCCCACAAGTGAAATTACAGTTCTGCTTGTAAAGTGATTGTAGAAGCATCAGTTTAGGGTGTTTTATGTCCACTTGGTTCATAAATAATATGTTGGTTGACAATTGATAGGACTGTAAATTTTCTAGAACCATTTTTGTTTCTCTTCCTTGAGAGAAAATGTACTTTAATGTTCTTGTACCAATACTGATTTATCAGTGTTATCAGTATGCGCATCTCACTCGGACTGCTATATGGAGAGTGTTTCATACACAGTACATAAATTTTTATGGGAGTTGGCCTTATCACATAAATGCTAGTACCTCTGTGTTCAGTTTTAAATTGCTTTTATTTCAGTGAATTCGATACACGTATCCTGTGTGATTTGGTTTTGTGCCTTCGGACTTGTGTGCTTTTTTGCCACACTGGCTCTACCAGGACTAGTTGCTCAAAGCCATATGGCAAAAATAGGAGGAGGGAGTGTTCTTGTGTTGGCGAAGTTCCTTTGCTCTGAGCTACCCTTTGACAGATCCCAAAACAGAATAT